CGGCAGCTCGCAATTTCGTCGGAAACTGCGTGACAACTTTAGATGTCGGAGAGGGACGGCTGCGCAGGCCACATCCCTAATCCTACCGAACGCAGTAGACTAAATACGAGCTGCCATTAAAGAATCTTATAACTAAAAAGCTTATACCTTACAAATCTATTTCTACTTTTTTTGTATTTTAAACATTTTTAATTTTTTTTTGTATTTTTAACATTTTTTATTTTTTTTTGTACTTTATATTTTTTTGATTTTTTTGTTGAATAAACATGTGTCTTAACCTATGTTAATAGTGACAATTCCAAGTAAGCTTTAAGTATAGACTCAAGCTCTTGGACAGTAGACCAATAGCAGGATTCGAACCTACGACCACATCGGATGTTCAAACCCGTTAAACTATTGGTGCTACAATCTTAGTCACACTTAAATACTTAACAATAGGCGTGATCTAAGCAAGCTTTTAAGCAGGATATCCATTGACACGACATGAATTACTAAACATTTGTACGACAAAATTACCTTGCCCGGTTTAACGGTATTCGATTTTGTAGCTCTTGTCAAAGACGCTACTGTGAAACCTGAAAGTATAGCATCGCTTTCATTGTCATGAACTAAAGCCATTTAAAATTGAAATTATTATTCGAAGTTAGTTTATTTTTTGTGTTTGTGACAAGAATTTTTTTTAACAAACGAACTTGTAAATTACACTGCGGTTACATTGATAATCGATTATAATATCATAGATTTATCGAATTATGTTAAGTAAAATTATTGACGTTAGTTCCGTAATTTCTCAATATGAAGAGGTGTTTAATTTTGCATCATGCTATACTTTAGTTATATTTTTTCATATCGGGCAAGATACATTTATAGCACTATATTACATTACAATATTACATAAAAGATACGGAATGCCTCAGTAACGTAACATGGAGTGACTGCTGAAAAGAAACGAAGAATAAACAAAATATACCGATAGAAGTTAAAATAATGGAGACAAATGTATGAATCGATTTTCGTATTATAAATATTTAGGTAGATAAATATATGTGTTGAAAACACATTATAGGACAAGACTAAATTTAATTTGACTCGTTCTATACTTTTAAATTTCTTCTTTTAGTTATCTGGCGCCATAGCGTTTCAGCCTTGCGTCACTAATGTACAATGAATGAAAATTAAGATCTTTTAGAGTAGGCCTAAATGTAAAGATATATATTACCCTGAATAATAAAATATTTGACACAGTACAATTGTCTAAAATAATTTTCAGTTCGGAGACTTATTTACGAATACAAAAACTCAGTCGGGGACTCACGAAAATAAGATCAGTTCTTTACATAAATATAAAGGTTTGAAAAATGGTCGGAATGACAGAACTCTTGTTTTTTAAGAGAAACTATGTACAAATAACTTGTTTTACAAGTAAGTAGGAGATAAAAAATAATTTGAATATAAATACAAGCAATCACAAGGTATAGAGGCGGAGAAGACCAAACTTGGATGTAAACACTACATAGTATTTCGATACACGATAGAATCACGATATCTCGAATGTCAAGGGAAAAAACATAGACGAATTGAGAGACCCCTTACTGTATTAATTTCGAAGTTGTGAGATTTTTTTCAAATATGTGTTTATTTTTGTCTATTTAAGGATTTTTACGTAAAATATACCGTAAGATGTAATAAATGTTTAAAAGACGAATGTTTATTTAAAAACGAAATAAAACAATTATTCATAATTTATTTGTTAATGTTATGTTACTAAAAACTGTAGAAAATGAATTATAAAGAAAAATCTCCGTCGGATTCGAAATTGTTATCCATGGCTTGAAGTATTAGTGGGTATAGATCGACAAGGATCTTATGGGACTCGTAAAATTTGTAAACTAATAGTATAATCCCGACTACCTCATCTGTTGACCAATGAGAGTGTAGTTGTTGAAACGGTCAAATTTTACTATTACATAATATTAAATTTTAGAAAATTTTACATTTATTAATATTACTTTTATTTATTAAAAGCAAGACCAGGTTTATGACGACGCTAACATTCGACTTCTTTGTAGATAATCGGTATAGTAATCTAGAATTTCAACCCCCTAAAAGTGATAGAGCCCCCTTTTAATGTTAAACTGCCATAAGGTTCCCTGTTGGACTATAATTCCAAATAAGATATTATGTTTAACGGAAACTAATTTTGAAGTTCTGCTTGTAACTATCAAGTGTAATGTACTGAAATGCCTACACAGAGAAAACATTCAGTTCAAGTTAAATCTAAATAAAACTGAGTATATTCGAGGGTTCAGCGAAAGATAACGGCATTATTTTCGACTTACTGAGGATTTTGACATAGAAAGCTTCGAGTTATAGAGATTCCATTGTATCGTTACAAGAACATCAATGTTTCACATCAATTAACGTAAATGTTTATATACAGAACGAAATCAAACAACGCAATGTATACAATCACATTATTATCACATAGTTAAAGATAAACATTCATTACTATATACTAATTATTTCACAGTTCTTCATGCTACTAAGCCACAACCTTATAAGTCCATCGCAAGTAACACATACCAATAAACACCAATTGAATTCATTCAAAGATTTAATATCCTTGTCAACGCCCGCTCAAGGTCAGAAGCGCGCAGTGCTTGTTACCCCGAACAATGTGTTCGGCGCAGCTGCTCGCACTATAAACCGAGCTGCCGAAATATTTGATTCGACGAATACATAGTACAACATGGTACTACACATTACTGTTTTAATCACTTTATCTTATAATAATCACCTTTTCATAAATTTGTGTACACATTCACAAGTTTAACGCTTTTAAAGTACACACAGTAAAGTTCATAATTCTTACACAGTTCAAGGAGTTTACACAATAAAAGTTCTTACACAATTAAGGGTAAATTAAAAGTACATATATAGTTTTATTATAATAGATACAGTTACATACTGTACATCAAAAGATGAAATTGGTTGCACAATTAATATTTAGTTTTGGCACACAAATAAAAGTTTTTTTTTAAGTACACAAGTACTTAGTGCCCTTACACAATAACCTAAACTGTTAGATATTATAATTTAAAATAACGTGAGATACAGGCCGGTGGCACTGTCGTTAAGTCTGACTTACACTTCCCTTATCAACACTAATCACTATTGATGTTCACAGAGTATTTAATGTGCTCTTCAGTCAATGCTGAAGGTATAAATTAAATTCACTTCCCACTTACATAGGATAATCGTGCATCAGTCACTTAAAAGCTATAATTTAGCATGACGCTATAAGTTTTAACACTACAGTTAACACTAACTTTGAGTTTTCGACACAAATATTATGAGGAAAAAAACATTTGACTGAATTGGATAGGAAATAAACGTCCTTGTGCGTTGATTTTATACTGATATTTTGATTGCAGTACACATTTTGTGGTACTGCAATAGAGATACTAAGGTGCTTAATTTAATCGCTGTTCGGAGCAGCAGGAGGAGCATCATCTTCGTTGACGATAATCTTGTAATACAAACGGTATAAGAACCGTATACGATCGGAATCAGAGAAGTATTCGTTCCTGAAAAACAAAAACAAATAATAACTAAAATTTGCAAATAAGACTATCGATTAAACATAATTTGGTAAAAAAAAAATTAAGCTTACTTGACATCTTTTAAAATTTCTTGAGCTGTATCAGTTTCACCCAGGGCGTGGTGACACATCGCCAACTCCAACATTGCGAACGGTATCAGGAAATGATCCTCTGTTATGTAGTCCTTGAGGCTAAAAAAATACTAAATCAATAATCTTATTCACAGTCAAAGAATTATTCGAAACCAGCTTATAGAGTTTCTGTCGGGTCGCGCCTGAAAGCGAACTTACTTGATGACGTCTTGGAGGAAGGTGAGGGCGTCGAGCGTGTTGCCAATAGCGCTCAAGCAGCAGCCGTACGCGTACATGACGTTGACGATGTTGTTGCCCTCAGATCCATAAGGTATCCAGGTGTCCCTCTCCTCTTCAAATTCTCTGACCACTTCCTTCATCAACTATAAAAAAAATCAAAAATTTATTATTTCATCAACAAATGTAACTTTATTTTAGTATTGTATAGTCAATCCAGGGTGCGACAATCGTCGGTTAGTATTAATAGTCGGAATTCATACCTTCAACAAGAACATTGTTATGCGCGGGTCTCCAGATATCGCCGCCGAGAGGTTCCATAGAAACATCAACTCGAGTGGCGGCATTAACAGACGGAAGCTGTGGATCTTGAAATAATCTACGCCGTCTATCATCGTGCCGTAGCGCGCCAGGCCCCGTCCCGACATCCTCAGACTTAGTAATGGCACGGCTCTAAAAATTTACCATAATATGTCAGGATTCTATATGCAATATATTTTAATTAAAGTTCAGAAATGTTTTTAACTTCAAAGTATCAGAATAAGAGGATTCCTATTTGATAGACTACAGTTATCGTTTAAGCGTTTGTCCGCTTAATTCCGCGAAATTTTGTTCATGGTACAGCAACAAATTGTCGAAGTTAGTGTTTCTGTAAATTACTGAATTATCAATAAGGAATGTATAAAATGTACCCGTTGCTCCACATTATTTCCGAGGCGCAGAAACGAGGCAACTGCGACACTTCTTCGGAGTAGAGAGCAAGATGGCGATGTGTGGCCGCGGCGAGTAACGAGTGCTCACGTAACTGTCTTAGCTGGTGGATGTCTAGCAAGCGCCACTGTCCCTGAACCACCTGTAGTAACAACATTTATTACGATCATAATATAAAATCCGTCCACTGAAAACAAAATCATAAGCACGTATCGACCAAAATCCCATTATCTGTGGGTAACAAAGAATATTCCTATAGGCTCATGGGACTTTGTCAGGAAACCGGTTAAGAGCTTTTCTTAACAAAGTTTATGATTAATCCTTACCTCAAATATCATAGCTCTGAGGCCCAAATCCAAGCGTTCGGCTAGTTCAGGAAGAACATCATAGATAATTTCAATACCCTGTACTATTCCTTTCTCAACTATGATAATTGATTCCTCAGTCTCAAATGTTTTTTCCTCTAATATTCCGTACATTTTTCTGTTGAACAGATAATAGGAATTAATTATGATACACAATATAATGTATATTCTCGTTGGTATGTATTTGGATTCAACGCGATAAGAATCTATATACATCTGCCATCAACATAGGTCTTGGTTCGATTCCCATACAACAAAACGTTTTCGGATGAACTGACTCTCTGACATTGAAGAATTAATAATCTAGGTAAATTTGAAACAAGTTCTATGAACAAATTAAATGACTGATGTCTTAATTGTGTATATCTAGATTAAAACAGCGTTTGACTCGAAGTTTCAAGAAGTTAAAATAGTTATATTTACCTAAAAGTATAATACGACAAATTAAGCTTAAGGGCAGCCCGCAGGAATTCCGGAACTTCTACAGCGTAGTCATAGTCCTGGAAAACCTGCAGGAGCTCCTTCTAGGCGTTGCAAAGCAACAGCTCAATATCCGTGTCTGTCATTTCCTCCACATTCAGCTGCAACAAAACATACAGTTTATTTAAACCAGTGTTGAAACATACACGATAGTAAAATTGTAACATTTTTTTTGTATTGTTTCCGATTCGATTGTATTGTTTTCGGAAGTATCACAGAGTGCCACGTTTGTTTTACTTGGTTTAAATCTAGTAATATTAAACTTTGAACCAAACTCTGTAAGAGAGAATTTGGAAGATAAATTCCTAGGACAGCAATACAAAACAATTTATTTTTTTTTATGTACAAATTGTTATTTTCAAAATTTGTTAGGCTTACCGACTCGATGGTGTACACTGTGGAGTCGAACAGGTACTGGCTTTGGTAAGCGTCGCGGGTGTATTTCATTATAGACATTAGGTCCTCGACGTTGTCTTGGGGCAGGGGCAGCACCGGGTTCTGGTTGTACTGTGACCAGTTCGAGTTGTGGCAGAGTGCAGCACGGTCCCTAAACAAACCACACATTTACACGTCTGCCAAATATGAATGAACGTTGAAGTGAAGACGTTGACCAGCTACTTGTTGACTCATCATTCTGTAATTGATGTTAAAAAAACCTCCTGGATTGCTCCTCCCTTTGCTCCATAGTCGTGATCCGCGTGCTCAAACATAGCCCATTGCGCTATCATATAACTATAAATAATCTACTAAAAATTTTGAACATTGAAATATGCGTAATGACTTACCAGGCGCTCGTGACGACGATTAAATTCTCCAAATCCTTGCGGAAGAATCTTGTGAGCGCTTGGTGGGAGTGGTGCAGAATTTGTTGTGGATCCATATCTTACCTGAAAAAAAATGACTATAAATCTTAACAACAAGTCATATAAATATAAATATGTTCATTGCTCAAATACTGAATTAAAATATATTTATTACAATACAGGTAGTTTGATTTCCAAAGTGTCCTATGTATAAATTGTTGAAACTTTACTAAGACATTGTTATAAACTGATTAAAAATAGTTCTTGAAGGTATAAATATCCAATGAGTCAGCAATATCGAGCTCATCATTGTCGGGCAACAGGGCGCGGCGCGTCGCACGTAGCGG